CCCCCCCCCTCCCCGTGTCCACCAGGATGCAGAGGGTGACGGGAGGATCATGGTGTTCTTCAACATAACGCGTGGCGCTGGGATCGTCTCGTTTATTTAGTCCTCGCCGTACGGTGTGTGGTTGAGGCGGAGCAGCATGAAGGCGGCCGCGAGCAGGATGGTGCCGAGGAGGTCGGCGCAGGCCGTGAGGTACGGGATGGTGGAGTTGTCCGGGTCCAGCTTGCGGCGCCACATGAAGTGCGCCAGGACGTGCGTGAGGTACAGGATGATCATGACCTGCACCAGCACGACCACGAGGTAGGCCGTCATGAACTCGGCCGTGATGGTGCTCACGCCGTTGTGGATGTAGTCCGCCACGAAGGCGAACAGCGCCTGCCCCGGCAGGGCGATGGCGATCAGGATCCTGGCGGACTTGGCCGAGGGCACTGCGGACAAAAAACGTATTTCCGTCAAATTTGCTGTCAAGAAATTTGTTTAACAATCGCTTAATTTTTCCTGGGAACATTCTTTTTTTCTCTAGTTTCTCTAAACATTTTTAAATTTTTTCCGATTTTTTCTGGAAAAGTTGTCAACTTTTCTAGATTTTTTTTGTTCAATTCGACTTACCGCCGTAGAAGAGCGCGCGGAAGGGGGACACGCACATGGGCGAGTAGTCGGACAGCACGCCCATGGGGTTGGTGGCGTGCAGCATGGTGGCGGTGCGCGACGCCTGCACGCTCGCCAGGTTGCCGCCGATGCCGTTGACGATCGGGTTGAAGACGACGAAGCCCTTGAAGTCACCCACCACCTTGTCGAGCACGATGCCGCCCAGCCTGTGGAGGAGGAGCCGGGGTCAGTCACCGGAGCTGGAAGTGTGTTTGCGGCGAGCAGAGAGCGCCCACCGGTTGCCTACCGGCTGGACCGGGGTTGCCTACTCACCCGCTGATGAAGAGGGCGGAGAGCACGGGCGTCCAGCCCTGGCGCAGCACGACGGCGGTGTGCTTGTGGCGCAGCGCCAGCCACATCCACAGCGGCAGCATCAGCACGAAGCCCACGATGATCAGGATGAACATCCACCACATGGTTTCTAAGGAGACAAAAGAGCACGCGACGTTTAGTACGGAAAAAGGTCAACGGCAAACGTTTTAATTTTCCAGAAAAGTATATTTTTAGGAAATTTGTCAAGAATTTTTTTTAAACACCCCTAAAAAATTTCCGGAGGAGTTTTACTTACCATGGATCTGGAAGAAGGCGCTGGACAGGGTGCTGAGGACGGAGAGGGAGACGATGTCGCCGAAGCTCCCGGCCATGAGGCAGACCACGTTGTCCGGGTTGATCCCGAGGCGGTGCGAGGCCACGATTAGGACGATCATCAGCGTGTCTGGAGAGAGAAACAAACAAAAAACAGAGGGCAAACGTCAGAGCACTGCTGCTGGGAGAGTGTTACACAAGAAGTTAGCAGTGTCGTTGCCTCATCGCATTGAGAATTTCCGTTGGGCTACCGCGCCCGGGGCATGATTCAGGAAGCCTAATCTACTTTTTCCACTCGACACAAACTGCTTCCTGCGTAGGCACTCGTCGGGCCCGCCACCAGCCGAAATTACCGTCAAGCCGGTGCACCAAACAAGTGAAAGACACGTCAGACTGGCAGTTTGGGTTTTGGTTGGAAAATAGTTTGCAATTTAGTTAGCAAGATTGAAGCAATTTTGACGTCATCCTCATCATCTCCCACAACATTACCCCATACAGAGAGGGCACGGCGCCGTTATCAGGGAGAACAGCCCACCCCGTGGTCCGGTCTGGTCTCCGTCTGAATTGGCCGAAAGGGAAGGGGAGGGGAGAGGGGGGGGGGAGGCGCTATCGCGGGCGGGACCGTCCCGGGACCCCGCCGCGCCCACGGCCCGCCCGAGCAGAAAGGCTTTATACACTTTTACGGTCATTCTGACGCTCAAAAAGCTCCTCTGGCAGCGGGAAATACACGGCGATAAGAAAGGAAATCCCACGGCAATGCGCTATGGGCACGGCCCGACCCGCGTGCCCTCTCGCAGAATCGGATGGATAAGCGATAAGCCTTTCCTTTTTTTTTCGTTTTCTTTTCTTTTTAATACCGCTATTTTTACCAGTTCGACCCACTGCTCGGATCATGTGGCGATAACAGCGAAGTTAATAAGCGCGCGACCGAAGGGTGTGACATGTAGGTCTGCGACAGCAACAACAGCGAACAGCCCGTCGTGTGACGCGTTGAGTGAAAGGGAAAGGAGAGGGGGACCGCCGCAGTCAGCGCGACGTGCCGTTCACTTAGACTACCATCATTTTTTTCAGGAGAAAAGATACACTTTTAACAAACCTGGAAAAGTTACCCCGCGTTAGAAAAAAAAATACCTCACCATACACAATGGAAAATTTACCTAAACCATTGAAAAAATGATACCCCCAACCATGTAAAAAGTTACCCCAACATCTAAAAAAATTACCCATCCATAAAAAAAAATTACCCCACTATAGAAAAATCTAACCCACCACACGGGAAAAGTTACCCCCACCATCGTTACCCTCGCACTCACCGAGGACGAAGCAGGCCGTGGTGGCGGTGGTCACGGCGGAGGCGGCCATGAGCAGGGCGTGCCGGTAGTCGGGCAGGCCGTCCATCAGGGCGCTCACGGTGATGGCGAAGCAGGCCGCCGTCAGCGAGGCCACGATGGACTGCACCTGGACGAGGGCGATGTTGCAGAGGAACAGCTTCCAGATGTTCTTCCAGGACGCCAGGTTGCCCAGGTTGGCCTGGGTGCACAGCCGCGACGCGAGGCACGTGTCCAGGTTGCCCTTGAGGCCCACCAGGGCGGGCACCAGGATGAAGAGGGCCTTGATGTGCCTGAACACCTCCCATTCCTGCGCACAAAGACAACGAGAAAGTGTTTACTCCGCCGTTATCGACGACGAACGAATAATAATTGGATTGCGTGGCCGCAGGGAGCGGACTCGGCACTCCACTCAAAAAGTTAGAATCAATCAGAGAAAAAAAATCGAGAAGGAAATCAGAAAAAATCGGAAAAA